GAGTGGGGGCGGGGGGGGGCAGAGGGAGAGAGAAAGAATCTGAAGCAGACTCCCCACTGAGGGTGGAGTCTAACATGGGTCTTGATATCATGACCCCGAGATCATGACTTGAGCCAAACAAGACTCAGAGGACCCTTAACCGACTGAGCCATCCAGGTGCCCCGAGACTTTAATTCTTAAGGGGACAGAAGTTTCCCTTTAGAATTCAGTCATTAAAGTGTTTACACTCAAGACAGGAATCCATCAAAATCCTTGAGGAGAACACAGACGGCAACCTCTTCAACCTCAGCTGCTGCAACTTCTTCCCAGAAACATCGCCAAAGGCAAGGGGAACAAGGGCAAAAGGAACTACTGGGACTTCAAGATCAAAAGCTTCCGTCCAGCAAAGGAAACAGTCAACAAAACCAAAAGACAACCAACAGAATGGGAGAAGATATTTGCAAATGACATATCAGATAAAGGGCTAGTATCCAAAATCTTTAAAAAACTTATCAAACTTGGGGCACCTGGGTGGCTCAGTGGGTTAAAGCCTCTGCCTTTGGCTCAGGTCATGATCCCAGGGTTCTGGGATTGAGCCCCACATTGGGCTCTCTGCTCAGCGGGGAGCCTGCTTCCCTTCCTCTCTCTCTGCCTGCCTCTCTGCCTACTTGTGATCTCCCTCTGTCAAATAAATAAATAAATAATCTTAAAAAAAAAAAAGGCAGAACATAAGGACCCATACCCTTTGGGTGTGAAGGTTTTGGTCATTCCACAAGATAAAAAACCCAGAGCAACTGAAATTCTGGCTGAGGCCAAGAAAAAGATGGAATGAGTAGTTGAAAAAGGAAGGCACAGATAACAATTACAACCTCACGACTAACTACAGAAACTTTGCACATATTCTCTTTGCTTGTTATATTCATGGTTATTATTATATTATATTCACATTATATATCATATATTATATTATTATTATATAATATATACAATATAATATTATATTCACTTATATATATTATTATATTATATTATTATTATATTATTCTTCCTGATTTTTAGTTTATATTCAAGTTGTTGGTTGTGAATTTTACAATTTAGTCCTTAGGAAATGAATGGGACTATGAATGAACTTGAGGAATAATTAATATAGTCATCAATAGAAACAATGACTGTTGGAACCATTTTTAGGAAATGGTGAATACTTGTATGATGGACCTTCTTAGGTAGAAATTTAAAAGTTCTTTGTCAATGTACAAGTGTTCAAAGGTATGTAGAACGGTACATATGGAAGCTGAATAATCAAAGGATTGCACCTTGTCAGTTATTAATTTATTGCCTCTCAGCTCCAAATATATCTTTCTTGTCTGTTTTATGAAAATGGATTTGGGTCTTGTACATGTTTTCCTTTACCAGCGGGCACAGAATTAAATTTTGTCAGAGATGGTGCTGGGGAGATCCTAGAGGAGGAAAGGAATTTTCTTTCTGGTTCTAGATTGTTGCCTTGGCAGCCTCCGGAGACATTTCCAGTGTTCGTATCCCACAGTGCATGGTGGCCAGCAGTTCGGCAAAAACCTCTTCTCCTTGTGTGGTTTTGTAGTTGAGTGAGAAATTACCCCATGAACAACTTTCCTTGGCACCCTGAAGGGTGGGTCTCTGGGAAGTTACACAGAGTGAATTTCCAGCATCAGTGACTTCTGCCATTCAGTGACCCATGGTTGTGCCCTCTTCAATAAAGTCTGGATATCTGCTCTGGGAGATGGTGGCTCATTCTTGGACACTCTATCTCAGTCCTAGTGGCAGTAGCTGCTCTTTATATCTGCTATTCCTATATTCTTTAGGGTTCTCTTTATATCTTCCTAGTCAATTCCTTGCTATTCTAACTCCCTGTTATAATTAATACTTCTTTAAACTTTTCCTTCCAAATTACTTTGTGTTTTCTGTCTCCTAAGAGGATCATGACTGACTCACATATCTACAATGTTAATACTAATACTAAATAACCCTATTATTAAAACCAGATAATGATATTACAAGAAAGGAAAACTGCAGACCAATATGTCTCATGAACATAGAAGCAAGAATCCTCAATAGATGATTAATAAATCAAATCCAACAGTGTATAAAAATAATTATATACCATGACTAAAAGAGAATTTATTCTAAATATGCTGGGATTCTTCAACATTTGAAAATCAATTAATGCAATCCATCTCATCAACAGGTTGAAGAAGAAAAATCATATGATCACATCAATAAATGCAGAAAAAGCATTTGGTAAAATCCAATACCCATTCATGATAAAAACTCTCAGCAAAACTAGGAATAGAACAGAAATTCCTCAACTTCATAAAGAATATCTATTAAAAAAACTACAGCTAGCTGAGAAATAGGATGCTTTCTCTCTAAGATCCAGAACAAGGCAAGGATGTCCTCTCTTACCACTCCTATTCAATACCATACTGGAAGTTCTATTTAATGTAGTAAGACAAGACAAGAAAGTGAAAAATATACAGACTGGGAAGGAAGAAACAAAACTGTCTTTGTTCATAGATAAGATGATTGTTTACATAGAAAATCCCAAAGAATCAGGGCACCTGGGTAGGGCAGTCAGTTGAGTGTCTGACTCTTGGTTTCCACTCCAGTCGGTTTCCAATCTGATTGTAATCTTGGGGGTCATGGGATGGAGTCCAGAATCAAGCTCCATGCTCAGCGCAGAGTCTGCTTAGGATTCTCTCCCCATCTCCCTCTGCCCTTCCCCCATGCACACACATGTGCACATGCATCATGTACCTTTCCTCTCTCTCACAAATAAACAAATCTTTTTTTAAAAAAGAAAATCCCAAAGAATCAACAAAAAGCATCTTGGAATTAATAAGCAATTACAGTAAGATCACAAAATATGAGGTCAATATACAAAAGCCAATTGCCTTCCTAAATACCAGCAATGAATATCTGGAATTTGAAATGCAAAAAATACAATTTAATTTATATTTGCACCCAAAACTTTAAATATTTAGACATAAATCTAAGAAAATATGTACAGGATCTATGCGAGGAGAACTACAAAACTCTGATTAAATAAATCAAAGAAGATTTAAATAAACAGCTATTCCAGGTTCCTTGATAGGAGGACTTGAGATATTTGTCAGTCTTCCCCAATTTAACCTACAGATTTAATGCAATTCCAACCAAACTCCCAGCAAGTTATTTGGTGGTTATCAACAAACTGATTCTAAAGTTTATATGGAAAGCCAAAGATCCAGAATAACACAATACTAAAGAAGAACAAAGTCAGAGGACTGATACTAACCAAATTTAAGATTTACTATTCGGCAGCACATATACAAGATACCATGGTACTGTGAAAGGATAGACAAATTGGTAAGTAGAGCAAAAGAGAGAACCCAAGCATAGACCCACACAAATGTAGTCAACTGATCATTGACAAAGGAGCAAAGGCAATTCAACAGAGGAAGTATAGTCTTTTCAACAAATGATGCTGGAACTGGACATCCATATGCAAAAAAAAAAAGGAATCTAGACACACAACTTATACTCTTCATGAAAAACTAATTAATGTTGCACTTAAATGTAAACATGAGACTATGTAACTTCTAGAATATAAGAGGAGAAAATATAGATGACTGGGTTTGGTGACGAGTTTCCAGGTATGATGCCAAAAGCATGATCTGTGAAAGAAAAACTGTAAGTTGGAGTTTACTAAAATCAGAAACTTCTGTTTGATGAAAGACACTGTTAAAAGAGTGAAGAGAAAGAATGGGAGCAAATATTTGCAAAACATGTATCTGAGAAGGAATCTGTAGCTAAACTACACAAAGAACTCTTAGAACTCAGCAATAAGAGAATAAATAATCCAATAAAAAATGAACAAAGATCTAGACACCTAGCCAAAGAAGACAGACAAATAAGCATCAGATGTCATTAAAGAATTTCAAATTAAAACAACAATGAAATTTTACTACATACCTATTAGAATGGCAAAATCCAAAAAACAGAAAATACCAAACACTGGTGAGGATGAGAGGCAACAAGAACATATTCCTTGCTGGTGCGAATGCAAAATGGTAAACCAATTTGGGAGATGGTTTGGCAGTTTCTTACGATACGTAATCTTACCATACAATCCAGCAATCACACTCCTAGATATTTATGCAGCTGAATTGAAAACTTAAGTCCACACAAAAACCTGCACACAAATGTTTACAGCAGCTTTATTCATAATCACCAAAACCTGGAAGCAACCACAATGTCCTTCATATATCCATACAATGGGATATTATTCAGCAATAAAAAATGATCAAGTCACAAAAAGACGTGGAGAAACCTTAAATGTATATTGCTAAGTGAAAGAAGCCAGCCTGAAAAGACTACATATGGTATAATTGCAAGTACATAACATTTTGGCAAAGGCAAAACCATAGAGATATTTAAAAAAAATCAGTGGTGTCAAGAGTTCTGAAGCAAGAGGGAGAGATGAATAGGTAAAAGCACAAGGGAGTTTTAGGGTAGTGTAACTATTCTGTATGAAACTGTAATGGTAAACACAAGGCATTATGCATTTGTCAAAACCCAAAGAACTGTATAACACAAGGAATGCCTTAATATAAACTATGAACTATAGTTAATAATAGTATCAACTTTCTCATTAATTATAACAAATGTATCACACTGATGCAATAGGGTAGTAGGGTATATTGGGGAGGGGTGAGGGAATACTAAACTCTATGTAATATGTGCTCAATTATTCTATAAATCTGAAACTATACTTTTAAAACTAATTATTTAAAAAACAAACTAATAGCAAAGGGACCAAAAGAAACAACTTTTTTTGGTTCTAATTACAAAGGTAGTATATATGCCTTTATATCATATCAGAGTGATTTCAAACAAATTAATATATGGAAAGTATAAAGTTTTTATTATATTATACTTTGCTACTCTTCTTGACCTTAATATAGTCTTAGGTACAGAGCAACAGATTCAGTTTGTAAACAGCAAAACATATTTCTTTCAAAATCATCCACTAATACACTTTCCTTTGTCCACTGGAGATACTAAATTCCTTCTTAGAAATGCCATGTCAACTATCTTTTTAAAGTTTCTAAAATGTATGTTTTCCAATGTTTTGGTCTTATTGGTCTTACTTAATGAATCTTTGATGCTCCGGGATGTGAACAAATTATGTTATGTTCCCCACCTCCACAAGCAAGTAATAATACTTTCACCTCTAGTCTTCATAATACGATTTTTGTTTGAAGTTTATGTGCAAGATTTAGCTCCATAAACACGGATGGAAACACAGCTCTGACAAGTAACATCAACATCAGGACTAAAAGTCCCTGGACTACAAACCACTGCAGAGGAAAAAAACATGGATTACATTATTATCATTTCAGTTAGAGGTATTTTATACCAGTAATATAAATCTGTCTTCAGTATTACACTGTTTCTATACCTATGTTATACTGAGTAATATTCAGCCAATTAAGTTGTGGAAGATTATTTGTGAGTTTGAAACAATTTAATTTGATGATCTTAAAGGTAGGAGAAAGTTGGAATCTTATTTTTTTAATATCAGCATTTTACAGTATCTTCTGCAATGTCCCATTTATGAATTCCTATTTCTAGTTTTCTAGTTTCTGTTTCCAATTCTGTTTTCTAGATAGGATTATTCTGTTTTTTTCCTTCGTAGCATAGCGGCTTAACTCAGAACACTATAAAAATGTTTTATAACACAGAAGAGTGCATTATGAAGAATTAATACACATAAGAATGATTATATTTAGAAATTTGGTCTTTGAAGTTTTACTTCCCTTTAACTAAATATAACGTATTGTGAAAGAATCACTACATTCAATCATCTTAAGGGAATTAATAATCTATTCTTGACTATATAACCTAAATATTTAGATATTTAAATTTTATAATTACCGCAACAGCTAGCGCAATTACTGTGTAGACCTTCATTTTTTCCAAAGCCTGGACGACAGCTATCCATACGTACTACTTGAAAACTGTGGTCCACAAAATGCATAGCTGGTATAGTTTTATTAAAGTCATGGTAGTAAATATATGCTTGGCTCCGGAAAAATTCTTCTATCCGATCTCTTGCCTAAGATTTTAAAATACCAGAAGTACAATTACTGAATTGTGAACCAAATTTATCCTCCAGTATTGGAAGCAATGAAACATAGTAATAAGCATGTCATGCTTTATCCAACAGATGAATTCCTGAAAAGTTGTGTGTTAATACTAAAATTAGTCTAGTCTTGACCTTATCAATTATTGTCAATTCATATGTACAATAGTTAAGAAAAATTAAATTGAGGTTTAAATAATTTGCAGCACGTCTATTTCATGTGTGGATAACGGAGAGTTCATTATTTCTAATTCCAAAGAGGCAAGCCAAATGGAAACGAAAACTGTTCTCTAATCAGCATTACAAACCAGTGATGTAAATTTTATTTTTTGAACACAGAGTTTAATAATAACTAATACTAACTTAGTGCTTTCCATAAGCCATGCACAATATTAAGGGTATGGGCTCAGGAACTAGGTCAGGAGAGTAAAGGGATTTTTTAGACTATGCCCTTAGCCTCTGAGAATGGCAGAGGGGAAGCAACTATTATGACCAGCAGAGATACAATTTTGGAAGAACTACTGTTTAACCTAGGATTACATGGTTGTGGGGCTGTTCTTCAAGCTGCTGCTTAGTTACCCTCTGGGAAACAAAAACCAGAGATCCATCCTTCCAACATAGAAAAAATACATATTACTAACCTGGGGAGCTATATATTATTCTAGATGTACTATTCCAAAACAAAACATCTGATAAAGCCAAGACTCTCTGCTTAAAAAACTGAAATCAAAAATCAATAATACTTTATATATTTAAAAACAATAATTTAAATCTACTTGCTTAGAATGTCTACTATTAATATTCACAACATGGAAAAATCTATTTTTGAAGAAATGTTTAATAAGAAAGTATTTACAAAAATTTTTACATAGTTTATTAGTTATTTAAATACTTCCCCCCTACATTGAAATTCTCACCTGGAGGATATTATGATTAGTTATATCTTCACAGTCGGCAGAATCGTTGCATGCACCTTTCCACCCTGGTGCAAAAGGATTAACTGGAGAGGAAAAAAAATGATATCTTCACAAAAGAATTCTAAAAAGTTCCATCCATTCCAATAAAGCTTTGAATGCTGAATTCAGTATGTATCCATGCATGTGTTTAATCTATCTAATCCTAGTAATAAAGTGCACAATTTGAATAACTTATACATTATGATTTCACTCCATCTGGGGGCTAATCAAAGTAACTACAAGGCTTTAAAATAAATGGAAATCAATTTTGTTTGGGTCCTCTCTTTTATTAAGTTCTTCTCAAAAATACAATTTAAATTTTCAGGAATTTATAAATTAAATATTAGCTGCATAGAATTTATAAAATGATAGTGACTTCTAAAAGATAAACAACAATATTGGGGTGCCTGTTTGGCTCAGTCTGTACAGCATGTAATTCTTAATCTCAAGGTTGTGAATTCAAGCCTCACAGTGAGCGTGGAGCCTACTTAAAAAAATAAATTAAAAAAAAAAAGGTAAGTAACGATATATCATTGTTTAAAGTAAATAATATATTAAAATTTAAAACCTTAACCAGGCTAGAACCAACAGTATACTTTAGTGCTTAACAAATATTTAAGGCCTATTTTGCAAGATATCTCACATTAAAGAAATGTTAAATTTTTTTCTTACCTTGAAAGGCTATAAATAGCTCATGTACGAGGCCATGTTTTGGAATTTTAACAAAATGGCATTTATATGATGGTTCTACGACATGGCATGACAAATCAGAGATTAAATTATCCAAGATTTTCTTCAGCACTCTAAAAAGCAGGTCATTGTATCTTCCTTCACAAGACTTTGTGGTAAAACGTACAGCCATCTGATATGAATAATCAGGTTCCCGATAGGCTATAAAAAAAAGATGAGAATAAAAACAATTGTGCTTACCATTGTGCTACTAAACAATTTGCAAATAATATGTAATATTAAATCTCACTAATCTTGCAAATTAGCATAGAAACTTATCTAGTAAGTTTTATCAGTTTGTCCTAAAAATATATACAAAACTAATAACTTTAATGAAAAAAGGTTGTTTTCTGAGAACACAGGCAGCAACCTCTTCGACCTCAGCTGCAGCAACTTCTTCCCAGAAACATTGCCAAAGGCAAGGGAAACAAGGGCAAAAGCAACTACTGGGACTTCATCAAGATCAAAAGCTTTTGCACAGCAAAGGAAACACTCAAAAAAACCAAAAGACTACTGACAGAATGGGAGAAGATATTTGCAAATGACAGAGAAAGGACTAGTATCCAAAATCTATAAAGAACTTATCAAACTCAACACCCAAAGAACAAATAATCCAATCAAGAAATGGCCAGAAGACATGAACAGACATTTCTGCAAAGAAGACATCCAGATGGCCAACAGACACATGAAAAAGTGGTCAACATCAGGGAAATACAAATCAAAAGCACAATGAGTTACTGCCTCACACCAGTCAGAATGGCTAAAATTAACAAGTCAGGAAAGGACAGATGTTGACGAGGATGCAGAGAAAGGCGAACCCTCCTACACTGTTGGTGGGAATGCAAGCTGGTGCAGCCATTCTGGAAAACAGCATGAAGGTTCCTCAAAAAGTTGAAAATAGAGCTACCCTATAACCCAGAAATTGCACTACTGGATATTTACCCTAAAGATACAAGATCCGAAGGGGCACGTGCACCCGAATGTTTATAGCAGCAATGTCCACAATAGCCAAACTATGGAAAGAACCTATAAATCCATCAACAGATGAATGGATAAAGAAGATGTGGTATATATATACAATGGAATACTATGCAGCCATCAAAAGAAATGAAATCTTGCCATTTGTGACAACGTGGATGAAACTAGAGGGTATTATGCTGAGCAAAATAAGTCAATCGGAGAAAGTCAATTATCATATGATCTCCCTGATATGAGGAATTTGAGAGGCGGGGGGGGGTTGGGGGGTAGGGAAGGAAAAAAATGAAACAAGATGGGAGCAGGAGGGAGACAAACTATGAGACTCTTAATCTCACAAAACAAGCTGGGGTTCCTGGGGGGAGGAGGGGTGTGGGGAGGGTGGATGGGTTATGGACATTGGGGAGGGTATGTGATATGGTGAGTGTATGAAGTGTGTAAGCCTGACAATTCACAAACCTGTACCCCTGGGGGAAATAATACGTTATATGTTAATAAAAATAGTTTAAAAAACCAGTATGGTACTGCCACAAAAATATACACAGAGATCAACAGAACAGAAAAGAACAGAAAACCCAGAAATAAACCCACAACTATATGGTCAATTTTTTTTTTTTTTTTTAGATTTTATTTATTTGTCAGAGAGAGAGGGAGAGAGAGCAAGCACAGGCAGACAGAATGGCAGGCAGAGGCAGAGGGAGAAGCAGGCTCCCCACCAAGCAGGGAGCCCGATGTGGGACTCGATCCCAGGACGCTAGGATCATGACCTGAGCCGAAGGCAGCTGCTTAACCAACTGAGCCACCCAGGCGTCCCCTATATGGTCAATTTTGACAAAGCAGTAAAGAATATGTAAAAAAGAAAAAAGAAAAATCTTGTTTTCATCTGATACATTATCTACTCAGTAGAAGAGAAGAAATGGCTGGATATATAGATAAGTTAACAGTATCAGAAACAATAAGATGGGGGAATGTCTTAATTTGCAGAAAGTGTTATTGTTGTCAGTATAGTCCAATGAAAAGGATGATCAATTTGCTTTTACAGAATTAAACATCAGTTTTAAATGACCTGGCAAAATTGTGGTAAAGTAGATTGTACTTGCATACCTAGATGGTGGTAAGTGAGAAGCTAAAAGAGGATATTTAGGACACACTATCTAGATGTCAATTTATGAGTTTGCATGGCCAAATATGCCAAAATACTCCATAAGTCATAATAATTATATATAACAGACTCATTTTCACTAAATTAAGAGACTATACTTAATGTATAAGTTAAAATGTGCCCATATTCTTACCAAAGATCATAAAGTCGTATCTCTGCTTTACTACCGTTTCTTCTTGGGTTTCTGCTTTGACAGTCTTATAAGAAAGAGTACATGTGTAAAGTCCAGACAAAGCCTCCTGAAAATCTTCCATCTTCAGCTTTCCTGTTTTAGTTATATTTATTTGATTATTTTCTAAACAGAAATAGTAAATTACTTGGTTATTTAACATATAACAATTCAAACATTATTTTGTAAATGGGGTTATAAACACAAAACTTAAAAAATTAATGGACTATTTAACTTCAAGAATTCAAAAAAATCTTAATTCTGTTATCTCTATGGAAAACCACATAAGTACACTTTTAAAATATATTTTGGGACGCCTGGGTGGCTCAGTTGGTTAAGCAGCTGCCTTCGGCTCAGGTCATGATCCCAGCGTCCTGGGATTGAGTCCCACATCGGGCTCCTTGCTCATCAGGGAGCCTGCTTCTTCCTCTGCCTCTGCCTGCCATTCTGTCTGCCTGTGCTTGCTCTCTCTCCCTCTCTCTCTCTGACAAATAAATAAATAAAATCTTAAAAAATATATATATATATTTTGGTTTTCTTTAATTCATTTCTTGGCCTCTAATTTCATTTGCTTTATGCTGGTAATTTAGTAAATGAGATTACACTACTCTGTAGTACTACACAATTTCCTCATATAGCTCAGAAATTAATAATGCTAATACCCCAATACACCTTCTAACATCATGAAAAATTCCACATTAAATACTTCATCTCCAAGATAGATGCTACAAAGATAATTTTTTAAAAAGATTTTTTAAAAATTTGTTTGACAGAGAGAGTGAGAGAGCACAAGCAGGGGGAGTGCAAGAGGGAGAAGCAGGCTCCCTGCTAAGCAGGGAGCTGGACTTGTGACACTGGGATCATGACCTGAGCAAAAGGCAGGCACTTAACTGACTGAGACACCCAGGTTCCCCAAATTTTAGGTTTTATAAAAACTTTTGAACTAATATAGCTCTGGGACGTAGGATAAAAAAATCATTGCTTCAGCTTTTTTAATAAAGAGAAAATAAGGCACACATCAAAATATAACATGATTTGCTCTATCGAAGTATGGAGCAGGTGAAACTCCATATCGAAGTATGGAGCAGTTAAAATTAAATTTCAATTTGTTCATCCCAATAAGTCACAGTGCTTTTCTTTAAATAAAAAAAAAAGTCCCTATCATTTAACGAAATAACTAAGATCAAATAAATTACCTGTTAATGGCTTTTCATTAGGCCCGATCCATGAGTAGGTGGGGTCCACTGTTTCTTTTTTAGCACGTTTAAAATCCATACAGGCAAGGATTGGGCTACTGTGATGTAATTTTACATATATTTTCACTGTGACAAAATAAAATAATATAAAGCAAAATTAAGAAATACACTTCCTGCCATTTTGTCCCAAAGACATACTGATTAGCTCTTTTTGGATTTCAGTATTTTAAAAATCAGCATATCATTATAACACTTAGAATGTTAATATAAATTTCTTCTCCTATAAGTTTTTAAAACTCTAGACTGATAGTATTCTTTATAGTTATAACTATAGTTTTGCTTATAAAATGTACATAATTATAGTTTTGCTTATAAAAATGCACGTTATATATTTAATTCATTTTAATGTACAAATTCAGAACTCACTTGAATCACAATTCTTTGAAGGGTTAGTAGAATTCATTTAGAGATCAGAAAAGGAAACTATTCTCAAGATAATCACTGTCATCCCTAAGAGGAACTTGATATTTAACTATAAACGTCCTCTTTTGGGAACAATAATTAAGCTTATGTGGGGGCATACTAGAAAGATTTTCTGCAGTTACCTATTCTGTTTCGGATCTGGTAGAGGCAGCACCTTGGCTTCTACTTCGAACCCAAGCAGTCCCACAAGATGCTGATTTTAAATCTACTGAATACCAGGCCCTAAACCTACAAAGAAGATACAGTCCCACGATTTGGGGGCGAGGGGGGCGGGAAAAAGGGGAAGGCCTCCAAACACGGAGAGACCCCAAACATGACAAATGCTGTGAACTGGCCCCAAATTATCTAAAGTTAGCCGAGTGACCAATTTTCCTTGGGGAGTGCCGCTAAGTGTCATCACAGTGATAAACGACATTTGAGCTGAGCCTTAAAGGATGTGTAGGAGCTCCAAACAGAGGGACTTGCAGCCCTGGAAATCACTCTGAGCGGGCCCTGCGCGTTGGAAAGCAGCAGAGACACCTGGAAGTGAGGTGGCATCAGAGAAAGATCTGGATTGAAGCCCAGCTCCTTATGAGCTGTGCGGCTTTAGGCGAGGTGATAACACTAAGGCATCACTGTAAGGATGAAATGATGCGAGGGCCAAGCACCAGGTGGACGGGCAGTGAGCTCTCTCTCCCTTTCCCTTCGCTGGAAGAACACTAAGCAGGTCCACTGCACACCCGGCTCTTCTTATAAGACTCTGCGGGTGAAGAGCTCCTTAGTACCTGGGTGTCCCGGCTTGCCATAAATGAGGCCTTTCCCGGTACGTTCAGAAGAACGCTGCCATCCAGCTGTGGAAGAAAGAAACCACTGACTTTTTAGGTAGAAGGGGAGCGGGGGCTCAGAGTAGGGCAGGGCTCGGCAAAGCGGAGGGGGCAGGACTGGGAAGAGGGGCCAGGCGGGCGGAGGGGGCCGGGCAGGCGGGAGGAGCCCCACCTCCAGTGAGGTACCAGAGCACCGCGGAGAATAGGACCCACGCTCGCATCACGGCTCAGGGGCTAGCTTCGCGGGAGGCGTCGAGGGTCGGGCTCCTTCCTACCTCAGCCCAGGCCCAGCGCCTCCCCATCTCTCCTCCACAGAGCGGAGCAAACCGCCGGGGTCAGCTCCCCTACCCGTCCGTCGCTACAGCGGGAGCGGACGCGCAGGAGAGCGCGTGCGCGCTCCGCCGCCTCGAGAGCGGGGGCGGGGCGGGCGCGTGCTGGGCCCGATCACGGGAAGCGAGCGCCCCGCCCCCCTCGCGCGCATGCGCCCTCCCTCGTGCGAGTGCCTCGTGCCTGGCGCCATTTTCCCGCGCTCTCTGTGACTTCTTTCTTTGAGTAGCACCCCCTAGCCCCGAGAGAAGGAAAGGGTAATATTAAGGAAGCCAAACCGTCGCGATTCGGTTATTTCCTTTTTTGTAGGCTGAAGACGTCCAGGAGAGGAACAGTGTGGATTCCATGTAGGACAATGGGGTAAGGCGCATAAGGCTGCAATTACATTAGAACTGGAGGGAGGGAGAAGCGTGTTAAGAATTTACTCCTTACAGGAAGCAAAGAGCCTGTGGGAATTTCTGGTGCCTTGCTTCTCATGAATTCTGCCTGAGGTTGTGTGCAACATCTTTTCCAAACTCTTCCACCCAATTTTTACGTAACTGCATTTTCTAGACCCCCAAACGAAGAACCCGATGAACCACTCGTGCGTCAACAAGGCGTCCCCACCCTTTCCCACGCTAGAGGAACATTTAACCTTTAATTTTCCACATCGAGTATGAGACGGCTTTGGGAGACCCCCACCCCATGCAAATCTACCTGGGGTCGTGAAGAAACCTTGCTTTTGAAAAGGGCCCCAATCGAAAGGCAAGATTCCCCCAAGTCTGCTTTTCCTGTGGGGACGGATGACAGATGAGTAAAGATCACAGAGGTCGGAAAGAGACCATGCCCGCGTCTTCCATGGTTCTTTCTTGGCGACCAGTTTGGCGGCCTGTTTGTTGTCTATTTCTTGGCAGCGGGACACCCTCAGGGGTGGTTTTGAGTAGGCCGGTGGGTAAAGAAACCAAGGTTCAGACAGGGTGCAGAATGATTATTTTGGGTGAGATCAAGAGTTTTCAGTTTTATTTCCTTTGAGCCAAGTCAGTACTTGGACTATCTCAGATGGTCCAGGAGCAAACTTTGTCAGTGATTTCATTTTTAGTCACTGTTAATTATACCTACGTAGCTTAAGCCATGAGATGTGATTCAGTGAGTCAGATCCACCCATGTCGGTTACTGTGTCTAGATTCATGGTTTAGTCTCAACTGTTCTCTTCCTTCTTGAGGTGGTGATGATGAAGACAAATTTAGGGATTATCTTGAATTCCCTAGCAGTTTGACATTTCAGTTTTAGTCAAAGTACATTATAAGTCCACAGCGGTTTTTTTTTTTATTAGTTTCCCAGTTATTAGAAGCAATTGATTCTTATAAATACTGTATAATAAACTTTGAATACTGTGAGATGAGACAACCGAATGAGTAGTAGTAGTAGTTTGTTGAAAGTACCTCTCCATTCTTTTAAAATAAACTTTTAATTTTAGAACAGTTGGGTGGCTCAGTCCTTAAGCATCTGCTTTGGGCTCAGGTCATGATCCCAGCGTCCTGGGATCCAGCCCTGCATCGGGCTCCCTGCTCAGCGGGAAGCCTGCTTCTCCATCTCCCATTCCCTCTGCTTGTGTTCCCTCTCTCGCTGTGTCTCTCTCTGTCAAATGAATGAATAATGCCTTAAAAAAAAAAACAAGAACAGTTTTAGATCTACAGAAAAATTGTGAATGTAGTACAGAGTTCTTGTGTACTCCCACCTAGTTTTCCCTACTAATGACATATTAGTATTGTACATTTCTCACAATTAATGGACTAGCATCGATACATTACTATTAAATAAGGCATCTACTTTATTTAGATTTCTTAGCTTTTACTTAAATGTCCTTTTTCTGCTCCAGAATCCCACCCAGACTCCCACACTACATTAAGTCATCATGTTTTCTTAGGTTCTTCTTGGCTGTGACAGTTTCTCAGACATTTCTTGTTTTTGACAACCTTGAGAGTTAATGACAATTTTGATGCCATTACCTGACCTTGACTAGTTAGGTACTTTGCAGAATGCCTCTCTACTGGAATTTGTCTGACATTTTCTCATTATTTTACTAAGGGCATAGATTTTTCAGTAGAAGACTATGGATATAAGTGCCAATCCCATAACATTGTATAAGGGTATATACTATCAATGTATTTTATCACTGTTGATGTTACCTTGGTCACCTGGCTAAGGTAGTGTTTGTCAGATTTCTCTTCTTCAAAATTATTCTTTCCCTCCCTAATGTACCATACTGTTTGGAAGGAAGTCACTATAGGAAGCCCACACTAAGGAGTGGGGATTATGCTCCACCTCCTTGAGCGTGGAGTAGCTACATAAATTATTTCATCCACCTACTTTTTATTTATTCCCCTAAGTACCATTCTCTGGAGTCTGAAATACTTCATTTTGAACTAATTATTTACAGAGTAGTAACACGTTCCACTGCTAAGTATAATAACAGTTTTACATCCTTTTAATAACCAAATAACTATTCATCCTTAAACCATCCCTGTGAAATTTTACAGTTCCTCTTCTGCTACTTTTGATGTGCTATTTTTGCTTTTAGAAACTAACAAACAACAAATTTCCCCTTTCAATACTATAATTAGACCTGGTTTTTAGAGTATTTCTCCAAAATTGATATTATCCCATAGAACTCTAACCCATACAATCTACAGAGATACCTCCATGGTGTCATGATCTTAAAACAAAGACAATGCAAGCTGTTTACTCAGGAAAAAAAAAAAATCACCCACTACACATAAATGTGTATGTATATTGACACACACACATGTATGTTAACCTTCTATACCAAGGCATATTTAAAATAAACTAAAATTCATAAATTACAATATGGACACTTTAGTTTGTAAGTGTGGGTTTCTTCTGATATGGTCTGCTGATGCACAACCCCCCAACCTTAAGTCTGAAATAGATTTGTATACAGTAACAATGTAATTTTCTAACAAGGGTGGAAGTGACCTTTTTGAGAATCATTCACATGTTGTCCAATTCAACACAATGGATATCTTTATAAGGATTCACCGGAACAATGTCCCTTAGACTTCAATGTGAAGAAAAGTTCTGCTTTTGAAAAATTGTCATACGGGCACTTCCCCTTTCCTTTTCCTATAGTCAAATTTGTGCGTTACCTCTATAAAGCAAGAAGGATACTAGGGAAAGATGTTGACTGGTATGTTTCTGTGCAGTAACATACTTTAATTAATTTTACTATCTTATCACACTCTCCCCTTAGCTCTATTTTCTTTACTTACTTTTCTGATCATTGTATGTATGTATATGTATATGTTTTTTGTAAGCTGTCTCAGATCCTACTTGAAAGAAAGCAGAGTAGTAGAAAATAAACACATAGAGTACATAGTAAGTGAAAACAAAAGTGAGAGAATTTTTGCTTCCCGAAATGAAAAAGTTGATAAAAGTGCCCAAATCCCTTTGAACTGTCTTAGAGTTTTCTGAAAACTTGGACCAAGAATTATCATGTGAAAAGAAAAACAGGAAGAAAAACATAAGACTTCAAACGGAGTGAGTTCTCTTTGACGATATTCATTGCTATCATCCCCGAATCTAGACCAAAAGTTCCAGATCTTGTTAAATTTAAGACAAACCTCTTTGAACTTAAGAAAACAATCCAGATCGTCCCTCCCCCCATATATTACCCTCCCATCCATTATCCTTCTTAAATAGATACTTTGGGACAACTTGATGCGCCATTTCCATCCTATCTGATTCTCGGGTTTGACATTCAAAAGGGGGCTGGAGGTGCGGAACCTCGGGCTCTCCTTGGTGAGCGTACTTTAAAGCCGCCGCCAGCCAGCGCCGCTGTAACCCCGCGCACCGGCCGGTCGCCGGCTCCTGCCCCTTTGAATCTGCGCCGACGCGGCTGCTGGATCCTGGGGACTCCCCACGCCGGGAATCTCCCGCCAGCTGCGCGCTGCGTCCCGGCGACGGCAGGAGCACGTGGAGCGGCCGGGGAGCCAGAGCACAACTCCAATCCAATCCAGCCCAGCCCAGCCCGGCGGCGAGATGGAAGGTGAGCCTCCAGCCCGCTTCTTTTCTAAGGGGTCTTTGAAAAGTTCGACCGGTGCTCGCAGCAGAGAGAGTTCCTTCTGAATCTCGGTTTTGCTTCTATTTATTTCTTTTGTCAAAAGTAAATATGAGGTATTTCAGAAGGCAAAGCGTGTCGGTTCTCAACATCTCTCATACTGCCCCCCCAACCCCCACCTAACTTTGGAAAGTGATAACTTCTCCTCAGTTTTATGTCTTAAGGGTTGTCAGACATGAGGGGTCAACTCGAAGTCTGCAGAGGAAGAGTACTTGTGGGGCGTCCCTGCAATGGCAGCAAACTGGGTTGGAATCACTGATCTTTTTGGATGCTTTTTTCCTCCATGGCCTTAGTGTCCATTGGAATTATGCTAATCTGAGTGACTTCTTTAGAATGAAACATGACAGTTTTTTTCTTCAAAGAGTAAATGTTATCATATGGGAAAGGTAAATTTTTATGTGGTTGGCACTGGTGGTTCCCTTGGAACTCTATCTTTTAATGATCTTTTTTTACCCAAAGCAAAAATCAAGCTCCATTTAAAAATTTCATTTGAATTAATTTTTAGAATCGTGAAACTCCTCGTTTCTCAAAAATGTTACAGTATATACTTACTTGGGTAACTAAAATTTCACACTACTATTGTAAACTTCTCAGTGGTCTTTTCAACAAGTGTTTGTAAAACCTTGAAAATGGCAGATGCATTTCAAGTTGGGGAAGGTGATGATATTTCGAAGATCAGAATTTGTGAGAAACATATTCATTGTCTTAATAAATGAGATACTGACACCTAATAAAAATGTTAATTTGATAAATATTATGAATAGCATGGATTTTTCCATAATAATAGAAGGATTTTCTGTTGTCAATTAACCTTGATCTTTGGCAACTCTAAACCTAGAGTATATGAAGTTATTTAAATTTGATTAAATATTTTGGGATACAAGGTATAGGAGGTAGAGCCCCCCCACACACACATAATATCATTGAATGCAATATTACGATCCTGAAGTATTTACCTGGGTATGCTTACAATTTTTCTAACTGCTGTGGCCCATATAATTTTTTTTTCTTATAGAATGCCAAACAAGTCAATGCATTTAGTATGGATATGGAAACTTTTAAATAGCCATTATGAATAATGCTTCAGGTGTTTTCTCTTATGAAAAACTATGCTATTAAATTTTAAATTATTGGGGTTTTAAAGTGCTCTAAAATTTGACATTGTGAATATTTAAAAATGGTTTATGAAGTGTAATTGTTAACATGTAAAGGTCTGGTTGTCCAAGAACAGGAAAAAATTAGGTCACTATACATTACAAAAAAATAATTTTAAAAACTCTCATGCTTTCATTATTATAGATGAGTTGCTAAATTTGTTTTTGTGAAGTTATAAATCAATATTCAACACCATTTTTTCTTAGTCCTTTCGCTTCTCCAGACTAACATACAGAATAGTGTAAATCTGTGGGAAGGAGAATATTTCCTAGTAAATGTTAATACACCTGAATTCATTTAATGTGAAATAAAGAAATTACTAGCTTAATAGCATAGTTTGAGATAGTAATGTCCCTAACAAACTTTTAGATAAGCCCGAATAAAGACTGTTTAAATAAGAAAGGAATGAACATTTGTATAGAATTTGAGTTAGAATGTACAAACTATAAAGAGGGAAAGATGGGATATAGGATGTAGGCAGTGATCAGTTGTGTGTTTAGATGTCTAGATTAAATTAATAGGTCCATAGAGATGGATAGTATATAGTATGCTTAATGTAAAAACTTCAACACTTACATCAAAAAATAAAATTTAAAAATGAGTAATGATGTGAATTTGGCTTTTCTATCATCAGGTCCTTGAAGATGGAGTAGTTGATGTAGCAAAATATCTAGTTCATTATAGCTAACAGATTGACTAATCTGGCGCATGTGCTTGATATTTAAAATATTTTTATATTATCTTGACATTTTGAACTCAAAATACAGAGATTTGAACTACAGTGTATATTTCTCATTTCTTTTTTTTTTTTTTTTTAAGATTTTATTTATTTATTTGACAGATAGAGATCACAAGTAGGCAGAGAGGCAGGCAGAGAGAAAGAGGAGGAAACAGGCTTCCCACTGAGCAGAGCCCAATGCGGGGCTCTATCCCAGGACCCTGGGATCATGACCTGAGCCGAAGGCAGAGGCTTTAACCCACTGAGCCACCCAGGTGCCCCTATACCTCTCATTTCTTGGCAGTATGAGAAAGTAGAATACTTTATGGAATACCTTTATTTTCTGTCTAATTTGGTGATCAAATTAACATGCTACAGTTTATTGTGAAATGTAAAGCTGTTTAGTCAGTCATTCCCTCAGCATATAAAATTTTTAAATTCATTCTTCAGCAAACATTTATTGAGACATTCTATCTGTGAAGATGTCAGATGACATAAGCTTTTGAAATTGAAATTTTGTCATGTAAAAATGAAAAGTTAGTACATATAATAAATAACTCAGGAACTGTAACTCTTTTCTTTTCTCACAATCTGTGATCTGAGATATTTTCTATCCAAAGACTCTTGATGTTGCTAAATTTTGTTATTTGTGTTGTAATAGCAGTAGTTCTTCTGTTATGGTTGAGAAATGAGGTTGTTCACAAATAAAAATGTCATAGGTATTGACATGTTTCTTATTTAATATAAAACTTTTCTATTTAAACTATATTGGATAGAGATCTTTCTAAGTGTATTTATTACACAACCCCCTGTCTTATAAACAAAGTACACAAGAGATAACTTTATCTTGGTTACCCTGGGTTACTATTCTGACCATCAGGTGGTTTATTATTATTCTATAATATAAACTTGCAGGCGTTTTGAACTGTAGAGTTGAATGCCCCCACACTAAATATTCTAGGGTTATTGAACAAATTTTGTCTTCTTCTTGATGTCAGCTTCTGCTTCTTACCACATGGCTTTTGTGGAAGCAATTTTTCATTTCTAATTCCCTTTCTGTGCTCCGGATGGTTGCGTTTACAGAGATATAGCCTCCAAATGATGGAGTTTACTGAGCCCTCCATTATGAGCATATGAAGGATGAGATGGTAAAGTTCAAAAGAACAAAAGCTACAGAAAGGCCACAGAATCCTGATAGAACATAATTTTAGAAGATTCCTGTTTGTGCTTTCTATGATCCAACATGGGATTTCACACTTTCCTCACTGAAGTCTTCAACCCATTCTATACTTGATTATGCTTACTTGTCCTTCAAGATTCTGCTCAGGCATCATCACCCTGAAGGCTCTGCAGATGCCCTCCTTCTGATGACCTTCTCTGGTGCCTTCTGGTGGTCACCCTACTGGTCCCTCACCTTCTTCCACCTAAGCTAAGAGCCTTTCCTTTCTGTGCCTATTTCTGCCAATTGTATTGAAATTATTTATTGATTTAAGTATTTATTCCCCCTGGTCTTTCCTTCTAGAGGGCAGAGAATATGTCTTATTTTTGTGTACTTAGTTCCTGGAATAGTTCTTGGTTCATAAAAGAACCTCAGAGTTTGTTGCATTCAATTAAGAAAATAGTGCTGAGGGGCACCTGGGTTGTTCAGCCTTTGCCTTCGGCTCAGGTCATGATCCCAGGGTCCTGGGACCGAGCCCCACATCAGGCTCTCTGCTCAGCAGGGAGCCTGCCTTCCCCTCTCTCTCTGCCTGCCTCTCTGCCTACTTGTGATCTCTCTCTCTCTGTCAAATAAATAAATAAAACATTTAAAAGAAAAAAAAAGAAAATAGTGCTGAAAAGCAACTTCTGTTATGTTTATTATGATGCCTTTTATTTGATTAATTTTTATGAGTAGTAGTTTATTGGTGCTAGCAATTTTTTGACAGAACTCAGAAAAATTTAAAGTATTTAATTAAACAGTATAACAGAAAAGAAAGCCAAGAAAACAAAAATGTTATTGGGTTTTTTGGCTAAACTATCCCTAAAATCAAATGTAATCTATTAACTTTATATTGACAGATTTCAGGATCACTTATTAGTCCATTAAAATATGGATCAAATATGAACAGAATTTTGCTTTCTCAGTCAGTAAGATATAGATGATACCATAAAATTAGCGTACAACTTTCCAGTAGTACCTTTTTATACATTATTATAAACTTGTCAGTATATTAACTGTATATATTCACTTATTTAGGACTAAAAGATTATTCATACATCTTTTATTAGACATCCAGTGTTAATTGGCACCTGACTCAAGCTATAGTTCTAGATCATGTATGAGAAGAACTGAGAGATTAATACAGAAACCTGCCTATAGTAGGTGCTCAATAAAAGGATTATTTTGTATTAAGAATTCATTAATTATTTTGAAAAGAGATCCTAAACATCACAAGGACATAGAGATCACTCTGCTACCTAGCATTTAAAAAATACAAATTTTTACTAACTGGTGTATTTATTATTTTTTTTAAAGATTTTATTTATTTATTTGACAGACAGAGATCACAAGTAGGCAGAGAGGCAGGCAGAGAGAGAGGAGGAAGCAGGGTCCGTGCTGAGCAGAGAGCCTGATGCGGGGCTCAATCCCAGGACCCTGGGATCATGACTTAAGCCGAAGGCAGAGGCTTTAACCCACTGAGCCACCCAGGCGCCCCCTAACTGGTATATTTATAAAAATTAAAAACCATAAGGATGACTCTAAGGTCTTTTGAATCTCTAAAAAAAAAAGAAATAATGAAACAATAATTACATTTCTATTATATGTAGATTATTTTAAATATGACCAATGTATACCTTTTGGTTATTATTACTATATAATTATCAAAACACCTTAATTCCCACGATTTTGAATGAGATAATTTTTCAGCATTAATGGAAATCTACTTTCTGCATCCAAAATTACAATTCTTAGAGTCCAAAGTAGTGTAGAGTAAATCAAAATAATATGGAGTTGATACTGGATTATAGTGGATATGTGTATAGTTCTTCTTAGAAGAGATTTAAAAAAAAAATA